TTTTATACCTTATACGTTATAAATAATAATTTTATTATGATAAACAATCGTATTTAGAGTACCTAAGTGTTGCACTGTGCAAATGTGCCCTTCTGGCTGGCTTGCTAATCGCTAACGTAAGTACCTACTTACCCCCTCGTGCCTACTATATTTAAAAAATAAAACGATATAACCAAAATTATCTTTTAAGCAATTAGTTTAAAATACATATGTATCTCTAGTATATAAATAATACACCTATGAATAAAATACAATGTTATAAAACTAATACGGCAATTGTAAAAAAAAATATCCATTAAAAATGTTGGAGATTCTAATAGAAGTGAGTGTATTCGTTTTTATAATATATAACCTAATATTATAATCACCGTAATTATATAAACGATGTACCTGTAATGGTATTTTTATTTTATTGTATGAAAATTAATTTTTATTTTTTGTGTACCCAACCATATATGTATTTTTAGATAAAATATTTGCTTAAAAAATCAGAAATTGAACATAGATTGTTGTTAAAATAGCCAAGAGGTCTTTTTTTTAAATTCTCAGAGAATACTTCAAAATGTTGATCATTTTTAGGTAAACGTAAAGCCTCGAACAAACATGTTTTTCGAATGCATTGATTTATCATTGCTTTTAAAGTTTCAAATATAAAGCCCCCTCCCAAGTGATTCACTTATCTTACTTATAAAGAAATGCAAGATACCTATATGTAGGTGTATATACCGTATTCGTATATAATATATAATATATTATTATTGTCAGGCGACACAGTGGCGTATTTACGGGGGGGATCATTGGGTTTGATCCCCCCCCCAAGGCTTGAGTTGAGTTTTTTTTTTTTTTTTTTTTTTAAATCTAAATTAGACGATAGTCCGGGAGCCGTCGAAGAGTGAGGACTGAGGAGAGCGCGCGAGCAGCTGCTGGCTTATTTTGTAGTATTTCTGGACATTATACTGGTAAAACAAAATTTATCCTTGAAAAAAAAGGAGTAGAGAATAATATACAATCTTTATGTGCAACTATTCCTAAATTGTTATATAATGGATCATTAGAAATTAAATCTGCCAAGTTTGTTGATGTGCAATGCCTAGCATCAAAGTATGTTCCACCTGAATACATTTGGTTCTATAGATCTTTAGTTGAAGAAACCAGTTCTAATCAAGATAACAATGGTACTATATCCAATGATGAAGATGACTAGGTATTAAAAATTGTTACTCAGTTTTAATATTAATATTAAAGAAAATATATTTTAGAATATTAAGAAATCAAAATGATTATTAGTTTTGTTTTATTAATTTTATTGTTTTGAAGTATAATTTTGTTTAAGATTTCAAATTTGAATTATTATGAGTGATATTATTTATTATTTTTATTATAAAATTTAAGAATCGAGGAGATTATTAGTTTTGTTTTATTAATTTTATTGTTTTGAAGTATAATTTTGTTTAAGATTTCAAATTTGAATTATTATGAGTGATATTATTTATTATTTTTATTATAAAATTTAAGAATCAAGGAGATCATTAGTTTTGTTTCAAATATTTTACTGTTTAACTATGATTGATAAAAAATCAAGTTAATTAATAGTTTTGTTATAAATATTTCATTGGTTTTTATTATTTTATTGTTGTAAGATATTATATGTAATGACTGATAAAATCAAGCTCATAAATAAAATATCCATGTTAGGTACTAATATTTTTATTTTACTATCTTTTACCATGTTCATATCATTTATAATGTAGTTAAATGTGTTTACATTCTACTATGACTAATATTATTACCTATCGCTATCTTTAAGGTATGATAGCCAGTTTTTATGTAAAATTAAATGAATAACAATTTAATTTTTCAGTTAACATAATACTAAGTGGTTAAAGTAGAAATATTACTGAAGAATAAACAAAATTCATAAAGTAATATATTTAAACTATATATAGCTAAATATTATTAGTGGAAAAACTTATGACTTCTATACACTTACTAAGCTTATTTTAATAAATTTATTTGTATATTTATCAGAGTTAAAACTAAAAACAATAAATCATTTTTGGAGTTATCTTGTTTATTGTCCAGAAATTATAACTATTTTTTTGTTTATTTTTAAAATCATGTACAGGTTTAGTTTTTTTTTCTTAAAACTCAAGTATGCTGTTTGATAGTATAATTACATGATAATTATTAACTCAGTTAAATAAAAAAACTAATTCTTAGTAAGATTTTTACATTATAAAAAAAATAAAAAAAAAAGATTTAATAACTCCGAGCAATAAACAAGACAACTCCAAGAAAAATTTCTTATTTGTGGCTAAAAGTGTAAAAAATATTCATGTATCAACTTAATTAAGGGTACCACAGTTTTTATCACTATTTTAAGTATATAAAATAATTTTTCTTTTTATTATTCTTCACTTAAATATATATTAAACATTAAATATGTGCTTCCTGAAAAAAATGATAAAACGGAGCTGTCTGGTTATTGCACAGAGCCCTTCAATTGTCCAAAACATCTAGAAAACTAGACTTTGTTTTGTAAAATAAAAATAAAAAAATTGTAGTAAAATTGTAGTTTTATATTTAAGTATTTAAAGTTAGGGGGGTGAGGGGGGCGGAGGCCCCCTCGAGTTGATAAGTACTGGATAAAATCATATCCCCCCCCATGACAAAATCCTAAATACGCCACTGAGGCGACAGCTTCTAGGAAAAATTATTACAAGTAGGTACCTATAAAACTAAAAAGTGGTTTCAAAATTGCACAGGTGACAGGTGCTACAATATGTTTATTAATAATTATTTTTGACAACTATAAGTTATTATTATCAACAAAAACTAATTAATTAATTAATAATTATTATAAAGCTAAGAATTTAATGCATCAAAAGTCTTAAAATATTATGCAGTATAAAAATGCATTTAAAAAATATTTCTAACAGTTTAAACAATTATATAACGAAAGCATGCTGAATATTAGTGAAGTTTTTTCTCCAGGAAACACTTTAATATAATTATGTTAATAAATTATTGTTATCACCTCTTTCATCATTTGTAAAGATGAAAACAGTGGGCGACGAGTATTGCAAATATTTTACACGTTTTACAGCGTTTTACAGACCACTTTGTACTTCTACCAATATGCTGGTTTTTGACTATACATTTACGGTAGCTTCAAAAATAAATTATAAACGATTTTATAAAAACTTGAATAATGCTCTAGAAACGGGAATTTGTCAAAAAATACATAAGTAAAAACATTATTAAATAATCAGGATTTTCTAAAACACAATTTCCATTACACAACGTATAGGTATAGAAATATACATACAATTCGGTTCATATTATACATAAATTTAAAATACAATTTGGGTACCTAGTTCAACGTTTTGATAGAGCAACAATTTGAATAAAATTGAGTACCTATTCATTAATTAATTGGTTTCAAAGTGACGAATAAATTAAAATAAATTGCAAATATTGTTATAGTGCTGTCAGTAATAATATTTTAGTATCAAAATGAATCGTAAAATGTTTGCCCCTTGGGTATTGCACTATTGCGCCTCTAACCCTGCCTTCTCTCTATATCCTGAATATGGCCTGATTACACAAATACCGAATATTAAAATTATATATTTATACATGTATACGATAGGTAAATAAAATTATATTATATAATATATTATATAGAGAATCGATAGGTACATATATATATATATATATAGTTTCTATGTGTTCACGACTGTACTTACCTATAATCGTGTAGTCAGGGTAAGTAAATCATAAACATTAAATTATCTTAAATGTTTAATAATATATTATTATTATTAGAGTATCTTTTTTGTGTACTTGTATATTTATGTTATTATTATTACTAGCACGTCTCAGATACAAAAAATTGTATTATATAATGAATATTGAAATATACTAGTTAGTACTTATTACAATGATATGATATTTCTATCCTACTATTCAAAATGAACTATAGAAGTTTAACAAGCATGATATAACTATAAAGACTTAAGTGTAAAAGTGACTTTATAATAAGTTTAAATATCATGAACAATATAACTACGAAAAAGTAATGGTAGATACATAAAAGTTTATTCGTGTAAGGAAATAGGAGGCTTTTGATGTAGGACTTAAAACTTACTATATAGTTTTGTATATAATATTATGTAGTATAGATTCCTTCACTATTTCTATCAGAAGTTAAAATTTTCAACAATATTTCCTGAATATCATCGTGATTATCTTTTAGAACAATTTGTGTACTAAAAGTTTTATTTTCTTTATGCCTATATTATCGTTGGAAACTATATGCAATAACTCATAACTTATAAATATAATAAAACAGTTCCTAATCCTTTATCGTGAAAATAATTTTATTTTTATGTTACTGTTGTTCAGCATACACACATTTTGAATGTATTTATATTACAAACAAAATTAATTAATTTTTTTTAAATTTTTTAATGAATTAAAATTAACATCGGTTACTAATAACACATTTTATAAAATTCAAAAATGTCATATAGAGTATACCTACCTACATTGACAATGAGTCGTTTCACCATGTTTGTGTCTGTATATATTTTTATTTATTAATTGTTCAATTTTGGTTTTCATATGTTCCTTAAAAATATGAAATTCTTAATTTATTTAAACATGTAGGTAATTTTGGATTTGACTTATTTATTTATTTTAAGTTTATTTAAATAGTAAAATGCTAGTTTTAAAGTTTATGTGGTTAGTAGGCGAGTGGAGTAGTTTATTATGTGACGAGTTCCTGTGTAACTTAGCAAATCACGACAATACTAAATACGATATAGGTATGATTTCTATATGTAATCAATTAACTTAATTTATAAATTGAGTTTAATGCATATTATTACATTACTTTGTAATTAATAGGTAACTTGACGTTGTATAAAACTTAATTGTTTTTATTTAATGTAAATAGTATTTAATTAATATTGCTTATACCTATATCTCGTTTTAAGGAAGAAAAGTTGAGGAATTCGGGAGATCCGAAATTTTCTCATCTCAAAGATGACCTTCATGTTGAAATAACAGCCTTTGCTCCTCCAGCAGAAGCACATGCCCGTATTGCATATGCGTTAACAGAAGTCCGAAGATTTTTAGTACCGGTAAGTTTAAAAAAGTATATTTTTATATATAAATTGTAAATTTAATTCAAATATTATGTACCACTATGAATGACGTAATCAATCAATATAAAATTCATAAAATCTTATGCATCAAATTTAATTAATTGGTGGAGGTATGTGGAGATATTATAATTTATAAAATATAAATTAATATTTATAATTATCCTCCCAGTATTTTAAATAAAAGCCATAATCAGGAGTACGTTATAATTAGTTTTAATTAAGCTTCAATCTTTCAAAAAATTACAATATTAAAGTTTATGATCATGTTAAACTTATTTATATTATATGTTTATATTTATGTATATTACGGTCAATGTGTACCTATATTCGGACGTTGTAGTACAAAGGCCTGTGCAATGTATACAATGCCCAATTTCAATGGAAAATGGAGAAAACTATACTCTTTGCCCGGTCATTGTACAGAATGACCATAACACAGTGGGCAATTGTAATGAAATATGTATACAACAGTTTTTGTTTACAATTAATAATGTACAATATTATTTATTTTATGCTACATGAATGTTAAAAAAATTAAATGCTATTCTGCTGGGTTGTTCACCAAGCATGCTCACCATCATTTTAGATTCCGAACGAAGTGATGAATGTATTGATTTTACAATGATATGTATTTTTTGTGTGTCTGTGTACACGATAAGTAGGTTCTTAATTCTTCGATTTTCAACTCTTTTCTGGTGAGAAAGTGAATCTAATTGAATTCCTGAGTAAATTCTCAGTGGTTAGTTTGTAAAAGCAAAGGATAAAAACGAAAATTAAGGAAAAACGGGAATTTGTACGCAAAGCCAGTTTTTGATAAAATCGATTTTGGTTTTGGTGTAACTCTAAAAAAAATAACCACTGATACAAGACATTTTCACTGAATGTTAATATTAAAATTTTCTGTACAACATAATAATTTTACTCTTTTTGATCTATTTTTTGAGCTTAAGAGGATGTCTAGGCAATATTTGTTTTTTCTCTCAGACTCACGCGCAACGTGAGTATACAGTATGTTCACCTAAAATCCTTATTTATGATCATTAAGTATTTAATCTTTGGTTTACTAAAATCAATATGTTATAACCTCAAAAATAAAAATAAATAAATGATTCTGCTTAAATGTGTGATGTAAATGTAAATGTAAATGTAAAGTGTAAACCTAAATGTCTATGTTGCACGTAGGCCAGAGAGAGAAAACCAACAGCAATAAACCTATAATCCTTAGTACACAAATGTCCGGGTCACATAAATTGACTATGCATACGGACAAAACTCATTCAAATTTTATTTTGATAGGCAAGTCAACATTTAACATTTTCAGATAAATGATTTATCCGCTAAGTTATTTACAGTAAAAAAGTATAGGTAGTTCTTATTCTTATCAAACAGAAGTTTGTATTTCCACAGGACATTTCTTAGTACTGAAAACTATTTATCTTACATTGTTGCTTACAGTTGCACTTGTCATATCCTTAGCCTCCAAGATTCAAAAATATTTTAACCACTTCTTTAAATAATACCTGAGATGTTTTTGGTACTGCTTCAATCTGGATAAACCACTCTGCATATTTCAAATTAGTTTCTATAGTGTAAAGTTATTGAAGTTTACCTTCAATGGTGTCATTTTCATAATTGAATCGGTCATTTGGAAAATGCTATACCTCCATAAAATTAAAATTTTCAGGAAAAGTAAATAACCTTTTTTAGAGGTCAATATTAAATTTAGATGAAATTGAATAACGGTTGAATTATTTAGTTCCCTTATAAAAAACCAACTATGATATAATATTGATTATTTATAAATACTGGATTATTTTATGAGGGAATGAAGGTGTTTGAGATATGATCTTTTCCAATTTTTGGAGAAATGGCCTTTTCGAAATGAACGATTCAATTATTGTTTTTACAGAAAAAATCTGGTATTTTGTTATAACATAGTAAAACGTATTAACTGACATAATGATTTCTAAAATGGATCACAGATCTCAATCAGGTATTCTAATTTTGACACTTTCGCAGTTTTTATTTCTCAAAGTCGATTTTTTTTAATATTTTTCATTTTTGAAGCTTGGACTTTCAAATTATGTAAGGATTCACTTATTTTTTTAGATATTGGTCTCCTGTCTTGATTGTATAATAGGCTGGCTTTTCGTTGTTATCGATATTTTTTCACAAATTTTACCAACAGATATTTGTTTGTATTTTTTATCAAAATATTTTGTAATAGTTGCTTGTACTAAGTTCAGCGTAGTTTCTACATTTTCATTGGATTTAAGCTTATGTAGTTATTATGTATAATACTTTCTGGTAGAGAAGTAAATTTCAGTCCTATTTTGTGGCAAGCATATTTTCTTCGTCCTGGTTAGACCTATTCTACAGAATCCTGGTTATGTGAATGTTGTGGCTTTCTATAAACGATTTTCAGTTTATCCCATATACTGCACAACTCTTCGATAATCTTATTAACAAATACTCTACCATAGTCAATCTGACCTCTGATAGATACACCATTTGGAGCTTTAAAATTTAAATGTAGTCAAAATATTAAGTAATATATATTGACAATTTCTTTACATGTTTTTTTTAGTGGCTTAAGTAAAACATACATTGTTAAGTGATCTTAATGAACTAAAGCAAACCGAAAATTAAAATATCAATTCAATCAATAAAATCTATTTGACAACTTATTTCTGAAGAAATTATCATATGTTTAACGACTATAGGTAACCCTTTTTCACAGTCTTCCTTTTCTCTGACATAATTCACATAGATTTAAATATATCATTAAACATTCCCTACCTAGTAATCTATATACATAAAAATTAATGTTTGTCTATCAGTGCGCGCGCGCGCGTGTGTGTGTGTTTTTTATGCATTGCCAAACGGCTGGACCGATTTTGATGACATTTTTTGTGTGTGTTCCCGGGAAGATTTAGATTCACAATTAGACCCGGTAGGTACAAACCGAAGAGGTGCTCAAACAGGGATTTTGAGATTTACGATGGAAATGTTTGTTTATAAATGGTTGTTATTGGTTGTAAGAGAAATAATTAGTATACTTTCTATAGAAATAGTAGGTAGGTGTTTATTTATTATTGACAGTCTTGTAAAAAATACTTTTGAAAAAGTATTAAAATACTAATACTAGTATTCGCATAAAAAAGTATTAAAAATACTTTTAAAATACTTACATAAAAATGTATTTTACGAATACTCACAAAGTATTTGAATACAAATACAAGTATTTTTTTAAATTTTACACCTTATAGTAGCTGTTTCCAAACATGTTTATTAATAAACATGAAATAACTTACAAATTAGGCTAACAATGTAGTACATACTGCTCATATTAGGTATTATCAATATTATAGTATCATAATATATTTATACCTAATATATACTTATAATTTATCAATATAATAATATATAATTTAGCATAATTATATATTTATGGTTAATATAATTTAACATTCGTATAAATCAAATATTATACATTTATACAAATATGAATAAAAATTAAATTTCTATTCAGAAAAAAAAACTAACTGTAATAATGAAATAATCTTTATATTTTTATTAAAATTTGTTTCACAATATTCAATAAAAATTTTATTTGAAAAAAAAATTAAAATCTGTTATTATTTAGAATTTAGATAATTTTAGAATTACTTTTCAATAACATGGTTTTTTCAAAATTAGAATCACTCATCTTCCCTCTTTTTTTTTGTTAAAATACAGGCTCCTATACTAAACACTCTTTCAATAGGTTCACTTGGGGGGAAGGGAGTATTATACTTTACGAAAACCTTTTTTAAAATTGGAGTATAATTTAATACGTTGATTTTTTTAGTTGGACTCTTGTTGAGAAAGTCAGCAATTTCATTTTCAATTAATACATTCCGACTTTTTTTTGTTGAGGCCCACGAATATTAATAGTAATTATATTCTGTTCAAACTAATAAAATATGTATCTGTTATAATATGTACTATAGTTATACATGGTCTGTTCTCTATACTATATTATTATTACTTTTTTTCTAATAAAAATTTATTTACATTAAGTTTATAGTATTTAAATACAAGTATTTACATTTCGTTAAAAATACTTTTAAAAAGTATTCAGAATACTTAAAAAATACTTAAAAAAAATTGTATTTAGAATACCAAAAAATACTTCAAAAAGTATTTTAATACAAGTATTCAAATACTTGTATTCGAATACTTTACAAGACTGATTATTGATTGTCATTGGTTTATCGGGCAGATCAGGTGCAAGCATGCATTAAATCGAATTTTCGCACATTGCCTACCAAGGTGGCTGAGTTTTACTTTGTCCGCGATCCGACGTTACACCCAAAAAGAGTTGAACAATCATACATTTTTAAAAGTTGTAATTTTTTACGAGTTACGATGTGCGCGGGATCACCTATAGTGATATTATATTTTGTGTCAGTTCATGTTCCATTCTGTTTCTACCTCCGTGGCCAATTTTTAAATTCACCTCATGAATTTTTTTGTTTAAATCTTCGTTATAAACATGACAATTAATTTTATTTGGTTCAGTGACTGGTACAATTAATTTTTCTAAATTACTAATGCCCGCCGTATGTATATATAGTGTCACGTAAATTGACTATACATATAGACATAAGTAATTTTTTCCTATATCATAGCGCTTCAATTATTTATAGTTATTTGGCTTTAACTTTGTTTCAATTTTTAACCGTTGGACTTCGTGTAATATTTCTTAGTATTTTAGCACACTGAAATATACACTATTTCAATCATTTCATTCAAAACAATATAACATTTTTCGTAAAATGTTAAATTAATCGTTTTAAATATTACCTAAGTAAAATAATTATTTTAACAAAATTAAAAAATACTGCTGATTCATTAAATCGTGTAATTTCAACTGATTTAAAATTCTATATTTTATATAGTTCAAAGACCTAATCAAACACAGTATAGCTGTTTAAAAACAGTCAGTAGTTGGTTACCAGTCTGAGTGAATGTAATCGATAATCATTTGGTATCGTCTATATATATTATACTGGCACGTTACTGATGAAAAATTCTACTTGTATACTGTATAGTATATACTTGGCCATAGACGCGTACGTCAAGGTACTTATTTTTCTGTAAGCAATCGGTACTAAATACGAAAAATGTTCATTGACCACTAACAACTGGGCACTATAGGTGCACAATGCCCGGAAATATAACCAAAACAGATTCACCTTTGCCCGAATATGATGAACATTATGCACAATGACCAAATTATTATTCACTTTGACCCAATATGCCACATGGTATAGGTATATTTTACTTGCTTAGTAGTTAGTAATTAGATACAGCGCCATACAGCTTATATACTATAACATTGTTTAACAGTTGTTAAGATGTTCAAGATATCAGTTTATTCTCTGAGTCAGTTTATGTACAATTTACATATAGGTACCTTTATTTTAATATAATTAAGTAGTTTATACCATACTATATACGATCGTTTAAGCCGTTTAAGGAAACCAATGTAAATCACACATCGGTGCTTTCATTTCTTTGAGGGCTTAACATTATTACATACCTAAATATGCATATAATTGAATATTTATATATATTATGCGGTATATTGTACTTACTGGTGTCTGGTACTACTTATAGACTATATTAATTATAGGTACCTAGTTAATTATAAAGCTTATGACATTATAACATTAAATATTAAATGTAATAAGAATATGTATACATATTATATAATATATACTATGTACGTATAGGTAATAGGTAGGTATATTTATTTTACCTCGTTAAATAAAATGTGGTGTGAATATTTTAGGGTAACTGAGATTTTATACAAGCGTTACTATTTTTTTATTTGTATATACGATTGAGTGGGACTGGGTTACAAAAATATATTCCAGTCGACTCGTTTAAGATAGTTCACCGCTTTAATACAAGAGAAAGAAAAAAATCCAGACCATAGGATCATTTTATAAACGTAGCATTTGTTGTTTAAAAAACCATTTCATTTTTAATTACGTTTACCCTGCCATTGACTTGCCGTTATACCATCTCGACTGTTAACAACTCAAAAAGACATTTTATTCGTCATTATTTGTTCAACGAATGTTTTACATAATCATTTAAATTTTAAAGTATATTATTTGTGTATACTATATTACTGCTGGGCGGTGCGACGAGAGGGAGTTTTAAAACTTAAACAACTCATTCGTAAATTGTTAATTAATACTTCCGTCTGCGCTGAGATTTATAGTTTACGGATATTATTAAATTTGGATTTGTTACTGTTGAACGTACCGCTCATCCGATTACAGGATTACAACGATGAAATACGACAAGAGCAAATGTGGGAAATGCAAATATTGCAGAAGGGATCGGGGGACGCGACCGATTCGGAAACCGGCGAGAGCGGATCTTCATCTCATTCCGTGGACGATAATCGCCAAAATTACAGCGCCGTTCATTCAGCCGGAGAGTGTTCGCCGGTGCATACCAAACACAGCAACGTCAACACCAATCAAACAATAATTAACGGATCAGGTACGATATAAAATAGGCACGTAGACACACGATATCGCATCGTCTAGTGTTTTGCATTTAATTTAATATATATATTAGGTATACTAATAGTATAGCTGCAGTTTACCTTCAATTCTATATAGGTATACATTTTATGTAACTTTACGACGATTGACTAGTATTAGTCGTGACTTGTGAACGTTGCTTGAACTTCTCCACATTCATTACATTTTACTAGTTGTGCAAAGATTCCGTTTTCAACACCCTCACGTTCTTGTCCTATGATTACGTTTGCTACGCATATAATGCAGCTATGTAGACCTACCTATTTGAATAGTTTGTCTAAAATCGATTGGTTATAATGACGAAAGTTTACACGAATAGTATTTCTTGTGTCACCTATTATATGTGTACACTGTACAGTGTATTATAACATTTGTATAGCTTAACGCGCCGTGTTTAGACAGATTTATTGGGGCTCACTGTTTACCCAACTTAATAATAAGTGGGACTTTGAGCATTGAGCAAAAAGTGGTTTTCCGTATTAAGCCGTCTGAGGTCTTACAAAAGCCGAAAGGGCGTCTCACATTTTGAAATACATTTTACATAATTCACCTTAATATTTAGTGTATTGGTTAATTAAAATATTTTAGCACCTTGAATTTTAAACAAGTATAGGTAGCTATTTTTAATAGCTATAAGTACTTATAACTTATAATATATTGTATACATACTATGTAATTAAAAAACTATCGAAAATAAATAAATTTAATTAAAAATTATAATTAACTTCGTTATTTTAAAACTTTTAGCTGCACTATTTTATACGCTTACGTAGTGTATTTTACGCCCTAAAATTATTGTTTTTACAATAAAATGAAATTAAACACTTACAAGAAAAAATAAAGAACACAAATTATATATTTTAACGATTTATCTTTTCGGAAGTAATAGTTTGACCTTTTGTTCTTATTGTTAAATTTAAAATAATAATAATAAAAGTAATACAATAGTCACAAATCAATAGTCAGTATACATATTACATTTATCTCCTGGATGTAGAAAAACACGTGACTCCGATCAATTCAAACGGGTTAACGGAAACTCCAGGAAGGAAACGTCCTCTGCTGTCTGGAGAATGTGCCAAAGTATCAATGACTCCATCAAAGAGAACAGTAATGGCAATTCTGGCTAGAGCTAGAACTGCGCAAGTACACGTCAAAGACATGGTCACATTTTCGCCACATTTTAATGGGTAAGTTTTACACTAGGTACTTACGTTTTAGTTTACGCTTTTTAAAGAAAATTAAAAATGTTCACACGAAAGATCATACATTTTCCGACGTAAAAGTCACAATACAATTTCGTTTATACATTTTTTTCCCAACATAATGTTTGGTGTTGGCAATATAAATTTACAAATGAAGTACCTACCAACCCAGTAGGTACCTATATAATAATATAATAGGTTTATGTATTAAATATCATTATGCCCAAACTTTTTTTTATATTCATATGTTTTCTTTTTTTTTCATTTTTCTTTTTTATTGCAGACTCGTTCAGACAGATGTATCCACATACAGAGAAAAGCCTTTTATCCCCACAACCAATCTACTTTTGAACTAAATATAATATAATATAATACCTACTATTCACATCATCCATAGATTATCCAATCAAATTTCTCTGTAGTCACAGCGCATGAAAGTATGGGTCAATGTATTTTTTAATCATCATATTATACAATCTAAATAATTAATTAATATTTAATTTTAAAACAAATCAGTTTTATTTTAGTTTATAGGTATATGGTTTAAGAATTATTTTAAAATTTAATTAATCATTATGATGATTAAAAAAAAATTGCTCAATACAATATAATAATAATAATATATATATTTTAATAGTATTATAAATTTAAAACTTGTACACATATAATATCTTACGATCTATCCTAATAAAATGATAAAAACATTATGAAGTCAATCATATAAATTAAATAATTAAACAATTAAAATATAAAAACACGGTTTTTTCCTTGATAATGTCACAGTAAATACTCAGTATTCTATATGAGTACCTATATTGTATATAATAATAAACTGGGTAATCGATGTAATATAATATAATAATTATAAATGCACACAAATTCACATTAGTTCATTTATTTTTAGTTAGTTATTTAATTATACTTTCTGCAGTTTTTTGTTATTATTATATAGTTAATGTCTATATCTGATTATTTTATGTATATTTTGTTCTACCTAGGTAGATACATATTTTATTTTATCTTTTAAGTTGGATATATTGTTATTATTTATTGTTAACATAGTTAGATATTAATGTATTATTATAATATTTTATATCATGCTAGAATTTAATTAAGTACATAATATATAAACAATAAACATGTATTAACTAAGTTAATCTTTACTATTGATATTTATGTGTAAATTTGAGTGAATATTTTGTAAGCCTATAATAATTAATAAGTAATAACTAATCAGATATGATTATTTTAGTAAAGTGTAGACTATTTAAAATAACAATTTTATGCGACATTCTGGTCATCTATACACAACATTGTATAGACTAAAGTATAATCGCTATATACAATATAATACAAATTAACAGAATGATAAAAAAAAAATTCATATTAAAATTCAGTGATATATCTTCTTAAATACTATTATTAAATACATAGGTAGTAGGTACCAGAGGTGCCTAGTACCAAGGTTTGTTCCGTTTTAAGTTATAATTTTACAAGTATAGGTACCTATATATAAATATAATTTGTGTACATGTATATATTGTATATACCATATACATTTTAATACATATATAGGTACGTACATATACATATATTATGTATGCATATATGATATATGTATTATAAATTATTTTAATCATAAGCTATGAAATTTTATTTTTTTACCATCTGTATAAGAATAAATTCATATATTATGATAACAATATTAACAACAACATATAACCTATTAAATATTTAATTTAATATAAATTTAATTTGGAATAAAATTGAATATGAAGTAAGTATACACAATATATTATAATATAATAAAATAAGACCAGGGCTGTGAATTTAATGCATTCGCGTGTTTCATTTTGTTACTTTGTTGGAGAGGAATTAATAATTTCAGGCCAATTTTGTTTTGCATTTTACTACTGTAAGTATATATAGTGCGTGTACTAAAATTTATTTTGCATATTTTTGCATTTTTAACAGTTTTTAAGTGAATTAAATTCACAGACCTGCTGAATTAATAGCTAATAATATCGTGAATAGTGTATATATAGGTAATTTCAATGACAATCATTCTTTTTTTATAGGCATAAAATATTCTTTAAACATATTCATATATTTAATTTTACTTCTGTGTAATATTTTCCACCTATGAGCCATTAAAAGATTTGCGTCATAATCTGTACTTTATAATTTATACCTACCTACTTTGTATAGATTAAAGTTAACTCGTCCGGGATAACCGCTTCAAGTAAATATTAATGTTGCAATTGCTTAAGTTCGTTTTTTTTTTTTATCAACCCGTTAGAGTTTGCACATGCTACACACTTACACCTTACACAGTTACACTATAAGGAGATACAGCAGCGTATTATATATTATATCAACTGCTATAGTATATTATATATTTGTGTAAGGTATCGAAAAAAACGTGAAGTTTCCTTTTCGGAGGGCGGTAAAATACGAGTCATCGGACGTGTATAAATAAGATCCCTTAGGAATGGATGTTAGAATTTTTTATGAGAATGATGTTATCTGGTTAAAGTACCTATCCATCGGGGACTTGCGAGTTGCGATGCACTTATTTATTAAATGATGGTCTAACCACTAACTATAAATCGCTTCTTGTTAACGCAATTACATACTCGTAAATCTTACGTTATTAAAGCGAAATATAATAATATCAATTCGTATACGAAGATGGCTATATATTATGTTGGCCGAAAATCGACACGTTTAATATAGGTAACCGACAATGTGATCGGCGGGGTATCATTTCAGAATTTTGTGTGAAACGCAAATTAATTTACTAAATATAGTCAACTCATCTTCTGGTTCGTAAATTTGAGGTTCTCAGATTTAAAAGCTATTATTAAACATCATGAAATATTTTTTTGAATGAGGTACAAGTGAAGAAAATTCAAAAGATGGTTTAAAATAGTTAATACTAAAGTACCAATACTATTAAAATGTTCAATAAATATAAATTCTATTATCTATAGCTAAATATGAAAATTGAAGTTCAAAAAAATCATAAGTCTTATCATTAAAAAAAATCTAACCTTTGTTTTTCGAGCTCAGATAGGTAGATACCTGTACAATAATAAGAGTCAATCAATTTCAATAACAAATCTGTAGAGTATAAAAAAAAACATCTATGTATATTCTATGGCTATATTAATATGTGATGAAACTATACAAAATATATACACACATTCGCATCCCGCAAATGACTACCCCGTAGAATGTGATTATTTTTAATATTTATTATGACTTAATTAACTTCATTAATTGGGCAATAGAATTAGACAAGGGTTTGATTACTCTACTTTGTCATTCATTGGATGTTTGTTTATTCATAAAAGCCTTTGTTATAATGACCCCAGACGAACAAAAATGTGAAATCTCATGTTTTCGCATTGTATCGTTTTCGGCATTATATAGGTATAGGTAGGTAGGTACCACTCCTTGGCGCGCATACCTATAATACAAATATGCAGCAGTCGTTAACTAAATACTTATACAGTTATACACGTCTACCAGTTATACCTATAGTTGTATTCAATATTTACAATAGTATTAATTAGAGTTTAAACAGGAAAATTCTTACTGTAAGAGTTTCTTGCTGATTTATATTTTATTATTATTTTCACTAATTAATGTTCGTATCTCATTAACTAAAAGAACAGTTTAAACGGAATCCAATTGTTATAAATTGTTCCCTGTAGAGTGAAAATTGTAATTATGTATCCACGTCTGTACCCACTTACTGTACTAGTATACACCTAATAAGTAGTAGGCACCTATAATATTATATATAAATCATATATATTTCTTTGTCAACAAATAGGTTTAACTGTTGTCTCTTGCCATAACAGTAAAACTGTTTGAGTGTAGGTAGTAGGTACTGTGTGTCTGTCGTCTGTGTACCTTATGTAATGATTTGTTATTACATTGAATTTTTATCACGTACCTAACTGGAATACATTTAATTATTTTGATTTTTGGTTCAACTACAAATTCAAATTGAATTTTAAAATTTAAAATAAAAGTCAAATTGTGAATTCCCATTGTATGTATTTTTAAATTATGTTTAAAATATTTACAAAATAATCTATAAGATTAATTTTGAATAATACAATATCATAACATTATAATAACTATCTTCATCACTATTGTACGCACGCAGCTCTAAAAACACATCGGCCATGGGCAATGGCGCTTCATCAAAATTATGTAGTTTTGTTCTTTTTGTCCATTTTGTTTTATACATTCACATTTTTATGTTAACTGCATAATTATAGGTAAATACTAAATTATATGTAGACTTTGAAGTTTAAGTGTACATCAAAACACATGCAAAATGTACTATTTTTTTTTCTACATAGGTATTTGGGTATTACTATTATAGTCGTACCTACCTAGTACCTACCTACCTACTTAATACCTATGCGGCTATGCCTAATAATAGTAGGTATATTATACATATTATATTTAATATTAAATTATGCAGTCATTTTGTAATTTGTATACATATTATAATTATAATTATATATTTATATTATAAGTCATCCAAATATGTTTGAATATATATTTTAATTGCTTAAGAAGTGATTATATTTAATTTCATTTAATTGTTAAGAATATAAATAATGAATTATTTATTTCTTCGTGTGTTGCATTACAATTTGTTTTCGTTATTATAATTAATGAATATTATAGATTTTTTTTTATAATTTGTTTTGTATAATTTTTTTTTTTTTTTATTGTGCATTGCACAGAATATTTTTAACGATCGTTTATGAAAGCTATACAATATAAGCCTATAAATATACAATATGTACGTGGTAATGTTTGAGTTTTTTTATGGCGTTTTTTCTTCCGGTTAATAATTTTAAAAGTTTGATGTTATTTAATTTTAATTGGTTAATCATACTCAATTGATTGAGAATCGTTCCTACCACAGTACCACCATTGATTATAAATACCAACCTACATAATATTTTGTCCTAATTGGTTTGTGGACGGCTCGCGGTTATTATTTCACAACCTATTGTTAATATATTTATGTAAATAGCTACAACATGGTTCATAGTAAATAGGTTTTATTGTTTTAATTAGGGCTGGCGGTATTCAAAATTTTGATACCGGTATCCGGTATTTGTTTACTACCGGTATTTACGGTATTACCGGTTATACGGTATTTTCAGTAATTACCGAACATACCGTATCACGGTAATTACCGAAAATACCGTACCACGGTAATTACCGAAAATACCGTACCATGGTAATTACCGAAAATAACGAGGTAATGCGGGGGTAAATGGGTAATGCAGGAAAGTGGAGCAAGCCCAAATGCTAGCGCTATGTATTTTCATCGTATTTCCCCCTAGCACAGGCCTACTTAAACCCTTAAACTGCCCGGTGAAATACCGCAACCTAGTCTTGCGAAGCCAGTATAGGCGTGTCCTATCCATTCTTATAATCTTAGTCATAGGCGTGCGCAGACTTAAATTTCTGGTCGAGCCTAGACAATTATAGTGCCCTAATATTTGGACTGCACCCCTAATTTTTTTTTTAACACACCAACATACATGTTGATAATATATTAACCTATTAATGTCTATAGTACTATAGTTATTGTATTTGTACCTATAAAGGTATAATGTTTTTTTTTTAGATTAATAAAATGTATGTAATGGTTAGGTTAGGTAGGCATACACACAAATATTTTTGATTTTTTTATACTTTCATGACAAACAAAATTTTCATGATCTCCACGAACATATTATTATAATATAAGCATTATAATAAAATATTTAAATATATACGCACATTTTACTATGCCCCTAAAAAGTTTCAGGTCGAGCCTGGGCTTGACCGGCTCGCCCCGTGCGCACGCCTATGATCTTAGTATAATGTTAGATAACAGATAACGAAAATTACAATATTATATTATGTCATTATGAATATATATGCTAGTATTTTAGGTAAATACCGGGGTACGGTATTTTCGGTAATTACCGGGGTACGGTATTTTCGGTAATTACCGGGGTAGGGTATTTTCGGTAATGACGGTAATTACCGAATCACGGTATACCGGTATTCTGAAATACCGAAAATACCGGATACCGGTATTTCTTAAATACCGGTATTTATCGGTATACCGAAAATACCGCCAGCCCTAGTTTTAATAATATATTACAATATAACAATATATACTATTTAGGTAGGTAACAAATAATAAACTCTTATGGTAAAATCAAAATGTATACGGTATACCTATCTATTGTGCATTAGGTAATTATTAAATGATAATATTATGATCATCGTTATTCATAAGCTACCATTTAGGTATCATCATATCGATTATTCAGTATCTATAATAGTTATTTATGGATAATGTATCTACACTAAATAGTAAATACGTAAGCCTAGGTAATACAAAGTGATTTTTTTAAATTACCTATAATCATTTTTTTGAAAATGTTTGTATTTTTTTAAGACTAAGTCTCATAACAAAACAACATTTTTCAATAAAAAATCATATTATTTATATTAAAATTTAATTTAGTTTTTTAAAATATTTTTATATTTTGGATGACATATTATGCATTTTAAATTTAATTTATGTTTCTGATAATTGCAATGCACAAAAATCTTTAGGTAGGTAGTAATAATAATATAATATAGGTAGTACCTAACTACCAACGGTACGACTGACGACGGATGAGGACGATGAAGAACGGCCCGAAGACACTCTTCGTAGTCGCAACAGCGACACGTCGGAGGTGTCACCGACCACCGTTCTTCATCCCCCAACCTGTGACACCACGGGAGGGACGACGATCACGGCATCGTAGGACGAACGAGACCCCAGAGCGGCGGACTCCGGTCGGCTCGCCAAGACGGGCACGCACGTGTATCCAAGGGCGGCGGACTCCGGTCGGCCCGCCAAAACGACGACCATTCCAAAAACCTCCGAAATTGTAAATTTTACGTAAACTGTTAAATGTCATGTATAGAGGGGGGGTAAGTCGGGGAATTGTCCCGTCTACCCCCCCACGTATGTATGTATAATATTGTTTCAAATTTGTTTCAATAAACGATGGCGGCGTCGCGGAAGAATGCGAAAGCAGTTCCCGCGACGCCGTCGGTTCAAAACTGCAAAAAAAAAAAAAAAAAAAAAGGTAGTACCTAACTATAATTGCTATAATCTAACTAGGTATAGTTATCATAGTATAGGTATTTAAATCTTGGGCAAGAGTCAAGACCCGTCTAGAAGATGAGGGAGAATTAACATCGACCTCCACTATAAGGAAAGGAGAAAGAGCAATCTCTACATCGTCTTGGCAATCCAGATGGGATCGGGCCGCAGCCGGTCCTGACGCAGTCGGACGCAGATGGACCCACCGGCTTCTGCCCGACATCGCACGCTGGATTGCGAAGCCTGCTATGAGCCTCACATACCGCATGACGCAGGCCCTGTCTGCACACGGTTGTTTCCGCAGCTACCTGCTAAGATTCAAACGTGCCGTGGACAGCTACTGCGTGTATTGCATGAACCCCGAAGACACGGCAGAGCACACCCTCTTCGCTTGCCCCAGGTGGGAGGACGAGCGTGCTGTCCTGACCAGGATCTTAAGACGCCCACCAGAGCCCGGGGACGTTCAGGAACTCCTGTGTGGACCTAGGGCCGACGAACTACCTGACGATCTGACAGCCCGGTCAAGGATCGTAGAACAGGCAAAGACCAACAGACGTGAGTTTATGGCGATGGTGGAAAAAATCATGTGCTCCAAAGAAGATGATGAAAGGGAGGAACAGTTGTACGACTGACGACAGCGCACTCAGTCTGAAGCTGGATCAGGATGAACAACTGGACAGACACTCACACCACTCGCTACCGCGAGTCGTCGGAGGTGTCACCGACCACGTTGTTCATCCCCCACCCGTGACACCACGGGCGGGACGACGATCACGGCATCGCTGGACACCTAGAGAACGAGGTTTCAAGGGCGGCGGACTCCGGTCGGCCCGCCAATAGGAGTAGCAGCACGAGAGAACCAGGGCGGCGGACTCCGGTCGGCCCGCCAAAAGGTGAACGCCTCAACAACTGCTGATAATGTAAAATGTAATATGCTATGTACTGTCATGTTTAGAGGGGGGGTAAGTCGGGGAAGTGTCCCGTCTACCCCTCCCGTATGTATAATTATTTGTCTTTATTATTTCAAATAAACGATGGCGGCGTCGCGGAAGCATTGCGAAAGCAGTTCCCGCGACGTCGTCGGTTCAAACCCTGAAAAAAAAAAAAAAAAAAAAGGTATTTAAATCTTAGATGAACAAAGTAAATGTGGTGGACTGGCATTTTACGCGGACACCTGTGCCACTTGCCCACTTCACTCTACCTACTCATCGAAACTTCAAACTTTAAATAGGTACTTACAAAGTTACAAGTTATCACTTATCAGGTATTCAAGTAGGTACGTCGTACGTCGTACATTCGTACAATCCATAGTTTTAGTTAAGGGGATTCGATACCGTGATTTTCTGTGTTTGTCTAACACACACACCGCATAGGATTTTGGACTAGTTCTTTACCAAACATAGGTACCAATTGATCTTAGGAATTATAAATCTTTAGGAATTTAGGGGATAATATCAAACATGTGGGAAAGTTGATTTCAAGTAGACATGAAAATTAAAATCGGTTTTCAGAATTATTATCGCTTCAATAGATAAATTGGAATGTTTAGCATAAAACGTTAATATTAATTAGGAGTCTGATTTGTGAAATTGTTCCGAATACGTCTATGCGGGTCTTATCACATTATGTATGCTTGGTAGGTCGTAGCCCGTAGATACGTACCATTACAGACATACAGTTTATTATAACCAGAGCCCCCACAAGGTGATGGGGGGGGGGGGGGCTGTTGGATTTGGTGTTCAGGGACACGGCTATTCTATGGGCTCGTTGAAATTAATTTGTACTTTTTGAAATTTTAATTGGAATACTTATTTTCTAATAAATAATATTTTAGAGGGCCAGCAAAAATATTTAGTACAGGGGCCCAAAATTTGAAGTGGGGGGGGGCTGATTATAGCTACCTAATGGCTAATGGCTATCATTACTACTTTTTGGTTTAATTTATTTGCAAATTGGTATTGCCATATTGGTGATACCTAGGTAATATTTTTTTTTCTTTTCTTCAAATTTGTAAAACTTAATAACCAATTTTTTAATGTATTATAAAAATTAAAAAGATAGCATATCTATATCTAAAGTAGGTAATTTAAAGCCAAAACCAATACAAAATTATTATTGATATGTCTCTGAGCAGACATTTCTATTATACATAAAACTGCGCTTTGTCACTTTATATATAGTGCGAACTGCGTGTGGCCGTGTTGCTGACCAGAGCGCTTTAATTAGGTAAATAGATAATACTATTTAGTATTTATATTATAATATTGGAATATAGGTAACAATTTTATTGTAGAAGGTAACCAACACAATATGGTATTAATATATTATTTATAAATATTATTGACTATTATTACTATAGATACCTAAACCTATATTATATCAAATGTATGTCAGATAATTTATGAAACTACATATTATTATTTAATTATAGATAGTGTTTACTGTTTAGTGTACCTATACCTACCTATAGTACACAGTACTTCTTAAATCTTTTAACTAATTTAAAATGTAAAGCTTGTTATGACAAGTATATTAAACATTTGAACAAGATGACTTACTGGCTTTACTTCACTAGCATTTAAATGAGTTTAAACAAGTACTTGAGTTGAATGGTTAAATAGGGCACACTCGGCACAGGTTATACCTTCAAATGTAAACGTGGCTAAAATTTAACCATTTTTGTAAAAAAAAAAAACATGACTGATTTTTAAATAATTTTGCTAAAACATTTTTCGGTTCCAAGTACAGTAGTCAGTAACTATCAGTGGCGTACCTACACAGGGTCTTCTTACATTAGGAATTAAAATTATTATAGATTTTAACATGATTTATTGTTCATTACAGTAATACAATTCAATAACCAATGGGTACCTACCGCCTACCATAAACATCCATAGGCAATAACATATTAGTTATTAAGATATTATACTATAACCATAGACTTGAAACTTTCCCCAAATACTAATTATAGCCTACATCTACTTATTTTACCTTTAATTCAACTTTTGTTTCATATAATTTTAGATTCTGAGTGAAACGATGAATGTATTGATTTTACAATGATGTGTGTTTTTTTTTTATTTTTTTTGTGTCTGTGTACACGATAAGTAGTCGAAATAATGCTTCGATTTTCAACTTCAGTATCTTGTTCGATTGGAAAGTGAATATCGTTGGTGCATTGGGGAGGTCAAAATGTTAAATTTCACAGTAGTTTTCAAAAGCGCCGGGAAAAACAAAATAAAAATTAAGGAGAAACGGGAATTTTTACGCAAAATCGGTTTTCCAAAAAATCGATTTTGGTTTTTGGTGTAACTTTAAAACAAATGACCGTAGATACATGAAATTTTCACTGGTTGTTTATATTTGTATTTACTATACAAGATAACATTTTCAAAATATTTTGATTTATATTGAACTGTTTAGGGACATTTTCAGTTTCCAATTTTATTAGTTTTTAGATTCTGAGTGAAACGATGAATGTATTGATTTTACAATGATGTGTGTTTTTTTTTTTATTTTTTTTTTTTATTTTTTTATTTATTTTTTTTGTGTCTGTGTACACGATAAGTAGTCGAAATAATGCTTCGATTTTCGACTTCAGTATCTTGTTCGATTGGAAAGTGAATATCGTTGGTGCATTGGGGAGGTAAAAATTTAAATTTCCCAGTAGTTTTCAAGAGCGCCAAGAAAAACAAAAGAAAAATTCAGGAAAAACGGGAATTTTTACGCAAAATCGATTTTTCAGAAAATTGAATTTGGTTTTTGGTGTAACTTTAAAACAAATGACCGTAGGTACATGCAATTTTCACTGGTTGTTTATATTTGCATCTTCTATACACGATAACATTTTCAAAATATTTTGATCAGTGGCGTACACACGGGGGGGGTTTTGGGTGTTCAAACCCCCCCCCTTTAGTATTTTTTCAGTTTACGTAATAACGTAAAAATGTATAGTAAAAATGATGACAATTTAAAAAAATATTATATTCCAAATTATACTCCATTATATTATAACTTATAAGCAACCCAGTTTGTTGTTATAATATATTGTAGATATTATTGATAACTTGTTACAAATTAATGAAATTATTGGGAAATTTGTTCAAACACAAACATGAGGGTCGACAATCGTGTAATCCGATATAATATGCCTTAATAGCTATCTCAGTATCGCTAATACTATAGTATAGAATCTATTTCTCAGTTTTCAATCAAATTTCTGACGCTTTGGACGTTTAGTAAATTGTCCTTACTGTTTAAATATTTTATAAAACAATACAAATGAAAAGAATAAACGAATATTTTTCTAACTCACTAATTTATGATACAATTAACTCGGAGGAACCGGGTAAATATTTAATACATTATATTATCAACCTAGGACCTAGGTACAAAAAAATGATTAATATGGTAAAAATAAATTTCTCTTTATACCTATCTTTTATTGAATTGTATATAATATATTATTATATACATATTGTATGTACGCGTGTAACTTTGTAGTTATACTAAATAATTACCTGTAGGTAATAGGTATATATTTTTTAAATAATAATCGAGAATTGTAAAAATATTTTTAATTTCACCTTAAGTCATTGCTAATGAGCCGATTACTCATTATGTACAAAATAATTACTATAGGTACATCGTTTTGATTCATCAATGTATTATATATATATATATACTAGCTGATCCCGTGCACTTCGTCGCCCGTTAAATGTATCAACTCAATATGTCTCAAACTTTGTTCAATTCGTTATTCAATATTCGTAAAAACAACTGTTCCGATCTTGATGAAATTGTTACACTGTGTGTATTTTGATCCAACTTAAAACATAGGCTAATTTAAAAAGGGAGAGGACCAATCCCGGGAATCAAACGGGAATTTTGAGATTTCAGATGGAAATTGTTGTTTGTAAATGGTTGCCATGGTTATATAAATAATAATAATGATAAAAAGAAATTATTTTCTTTTCTTTTCTTTTTAAATATAAAAGATGTTGTATCTATTATTTTTTTTTTTTATATATATAACCAATACCTTAGCAACCATTTATAAACAATTATTTCTACCGAAAATTATCAAAATCCCTGTTTGAGCACTTCTTTTATTTTTTTCTGGACAACCCTTATCACTTAGGGGTATTAAAAATAGATGTTAGCCGATTCTCATACCTACTGAATATGCACAAAAAATTTCATCAAAATCTGTCAAGCCATTTCGGAGGAGTATGGCAACGAAAACTGTGACACGAGAATTTTATATATTAGATACATATATATATATATATATATATATAATTTTTTTATATGTAAGCCCCCCCCATTGAAAATAGCTGTGTACGCCACTGATTTTGATTTATTTTGAACAGTTTAGGGACATTTTCATTTTTCGTTTTTTTTCTAGAAATATCAATCTAGAAATATCAATAAAATGTTATTTGTTGGTTGCGAAAGCTTGAAAATTTAATAGAAAGCTCCTAATATATTGTTTCAAAGGCAGATGAAAAATATTAAAAATCCTTAGTCACAATTTTTTTTTATAAGCATTTAAAGTTCAAAAATTGACAAAATATGGAAAAATCACGAAAATTAGCAAATTATTTTGAGTTAAGAATTCGTAAAAATTTTTATTTTTAAATCTAAGATTTGAAAATCTAATACAAGATTACTCATAAGATTGTCTACCTTTATCAATAAAAAAATCTCTACCGGAAAGTCAAATTAAATTTTTATGAGCGTTTGAAATTCAAATTTTTACAACATTGGATATTCACTCGATTTCTCATGTGGCAATTTCCTTTTTTTGTTGTAATTAAAAAACGAATTACTGTAGATACATGGAAATTTCACTGAATGTTTATATTAGCATTTCCTATACACCATACAATTTTGAAAATATTTTGACTCTTTTTGAGCTGTTTACGGACATTTTCAGTTTTCAATTTTTTTAGTTTTTTTTTTCTATAAATATCAATTAAGTTTTATCTGTTGGGCCAAAAAGTGTAAAAATTTAATACAAGGCTCCTGATATATTGTTACAATATCAGTTGAAAAATATTAAAAATACATAGGCACAATTTTTTTTTATAAGCATTTTAACATCGAATTTTGACAGAATTTTTCAAAATCTCGAAAATTATTAATCATCGTAATTAATAAATTATAAAATGTTCAGTTTTTATAGCTAAGGATTGAAAATTTAAAACAAGATTCCACGTAAGTAGTTAATTCTCTTACCAAAAAATCTAAAAAATATACAATCACAGTTTATTTTTATAGTCATTTTATGTTCAAATTTGGACGAAATTACATATTAAAAAACCTAGTTATTTTGTTGTGATTATATAATATTATTCGTGGGTACCTACTTGAAACTTCTAAAGTGTACTATTATATATATATGATAGTATCAGGGTTTGTTGTTGGTGTATAACGTGTTATAAGTACCTAATGGATATTGTGATAATGTGATATGATTAATTTGGAATTTATTATAGGTCAATTTTTTTTAATACCATAGATATGTATATAATTTGTCTTAACCTAGACTGACATACCGTCTTCGCTCAGAATCGTTTTTCTTATACAATGATATTGTATCATTGAATTCAAATTTAATAGCATCAATTATACAGTGACCCACTTGTAACCTACTGTACAGCAGAGCGACATCCACTTACCCACCTTTTTTTTATGAATATCAATAAAAATTTATTTGTTGAGTAAAAATACTTGAAAATTTAATACAAGGCTCCTACTATATTGTTTCAAAGACAGATGAAAAATATTAAAAATCGTTATTCACAGTTTTTTTTTTAAGCATTTAAAGTTCAAAAAATGACAAAATATGGAAAAATCACGAAAATTTGCAAATTATTTCGAGTTAGAAATTCATAAAAATTTTTCTTTTTAAAACTAAGATATGAAAATGTAATACAAGATTCCTTATGAGATTTCCTAAATTTATCAAAAAAAAAAATTCTATAAGAAAGTCAAATTAAATTTTTATGAGCGTTTGAAATTCAAATTTTTACAACATTGGATATTCACTCGATTTCTCATGTGGCGATTTCCTTATTTTGTTGTAATTCAAAAACGAATTACTGTAGATACATGAAAATTTCACTGAATGTTTATATTAGCATTTCCTATACACCATACAATTTTGAAAATATTTTGACTCTTTTTGAGCCGTTTACGGACATTTTCAGTTTTCAATTTTTTAGTTTTTTTTTTCTATAAATATTAATAAAGTTTTATCTGTTGGGCCAAAAAGTGTAAAAAATTAATACAAGGCTCCTGATATATTGTTACAATATTAATTGAAAAATATTAAAAGTACATAGGCACAATTTTTTTTTATAATCATTTAAAGATCGCATTTTGACAAAATTTATCAAAATCTCGAAAATTATCAATCATCGTAATTAATAAATTATAAAATGTTCAGTTTTTATAGCTAAGGATTGAAAATTTAAAAAAAAGATTGTCATAAATAGTTCATACTGTAACCAAAAAATCTAAAAAATATATGAGCACAGTTTTTTTTTACAGACATTTTAAGTTCAAATTTGGACATTCAAAAAATACATAATCAAAAACCTAGCATAGGTACCTATTTTAGTTATTTTGTTGCGAGTGTATAATACTATTCGTGGGTACTTGAAACTTCTAAAGTACACTATATTATATATCTATGATAGTATCAGGGTTTGTTATTGATGTATAACGTGTTATAAGTACCTAATGGATATTGTGATATGATTAATTTGGAATTTATTTTAAGTCAATTTTTTTTTTAATACCATAGATATGTATATAATATGTCTTAAACCTAGACTGACATACCGTCTTCGCTCAGAATCGTTTTTCTTATACAATGATGTTGTATCATTGGATTCAAATTTAATACCATCCATTATACAGTGACCCACTTGTAACCTACTGTACAGCAGAGCGACATCCACTTACCCACCTTTTTTGTTTATGAGTATAAAGCTTTAAAATTTAATTCAAGGTTTCTAAAGTTTTTTCTTACACCAAATAAAAAATATCAAAAATATAATGACAATTTTTTTTCAAATAAAGAATCTAAAATATTCACTAATAACTTTGTTTGGAATTAAATTCATTAAAGTTAAAATAATTACAATTTTGTTGTATTACTATTTACTTTAGGTACTTGAGTCATATTATCATGTACAAATCCAAAACAATTGTGTCTTAAAAGTAAATATTACAGTTCAGTCATAATTATGTTATACAAATATCAACAATATGAAAACAATTCAATCATTTAGTATACATCAAAAAATATTCTTCAAAAAAATAGTTTATACAAATTATTTATAATACACACAAATATTAATAGCACATAAGATGTAATTAAAAAATTAATTTCTAAAATGTAATTTAATATTTTGGTCAATGACATTTTGAATAATTTTATAGTACTTAAAAAATATGAGTTCTCATTTTCAGTTGATTAATGAGTAATAAATGACTACATAAATGTTTATGCTCATTTCAATGAATTTGGTTTAAGAGGATATTCCAAAACATTCAGTTTATTACATAGCACTTTTAATTTATTTTTGCTTGGCTTCATTATAATTATAATTTTAATATTTAATAAGCCAATTGCCCAATTAAATAAATTATAACATTTTGTTGGATAGGACATATAATTAGATCCATAAAGATACAAATATTATTACTAATTTCAAATATGAAGTTATTTAAAAAAAAAAAAACATAAATTTACTAAATGTTACATCATTGTTGATTTATTGTTATTAAATGTTGAGTTCTCAACATAAAGGAGATCACTAAATGCATCTTTGTGAATAGACAAAACAACTAATATTTCTGGGTATTCCAATATTGTTTTATATCTTAAGCTGTACGATATTGTATCATCAGAATCAAGTTCATAATATCTGAAACAAAATTTTAATGAACAATAATTAAGAATATTAGGTACATATTATTTGTGGAACAGTAGTGACTTCAGTTTAACACTACTAGTGTCATCAGTTACACACAAAAAAATGATACATATTATTATCAATTAAAAATATGCATTTAAATTGTAAAGTATTACTAACTTTCCATATGGTGTTTTCATTAGAAATATTACACCTTTAATTCCAGCTGAAACATAAAACTTCATTTTTTCTTTTACTTCATCATCATGAAACTCTGTAGTGAAATAGTTTCTAACAATACTATTTAGTTTTTGATACTCTGGGACTCTAAATAATTTATATTGACAATGTATTGAATAAATATATAAATATATTTAATTAATTTTAATACTTATGGTTTGTGTATTTCACATCTGTGCCATGAAATGTCCAATCTATACGCCAAAAGATTTTATTTACTTTAGAATTAAAAAAAGAGGTATTGTTTTTGTTCAAAGTAGATTTAGGTAAAATCTGTAGACGTATGTTTCGTTGGTATGCTTGATAACGTAATCTTCGAAAAGCCTAAACATAATAAACCACTTAGAAAAACAGGTAATTTGTTTGATCATATAAAATATATATTTATATATAAAATGTATTTTATTAGTCCAGTTTAATAATAATTAATTAATATGTATATAACATTGCAGTTAGATAATTATTACCATAGCTTTAATTTCTTAAAACTTTACTTAAAAAGTGTAGAATGTTTACTTATTTTCTTAACAATATTACCCCCATCCCACAACACCCAAGTACAGAGTAGATCAAATTTTCTACTAGAACCCCTTCAAAGTTGATAATTATTAATTAGCATTTTTTCTACTATAAAGTGTCACCAGACAAAAAAATAAATTAAAATAAAATCATACATCAATATACTGGGTGATTCTTTTATCAAACAACACTCATTATTTCAAAAAGTGTAAATTTTTTTGAAGATATTTTTTTACATAGTTTCAAGTCGCTTATAAAACAACGTTTTTATTAAAAAATTATATTTTTAATTATTTTTTATCCTTATAATTTTTTTACTTTTTTGAACGACAACATAGGGTTTTAATTTTATATTCTAAAGTAGAATATTTTTCTTAGTATTTTGATACATGAAAATTGAATGTGGGGCGAGTAGTTTATGAGTTATAAGTATTTAAAGTTTAGACGAGCGGAGTGGAGTGGTTCGGGGTTACCCCGCGAAATGTTTGTCCACTTCACCGCTCGTCTAAACTTTAAATACTTATAACTAAAGACTGGATTTATATGTTTTTACATATCGTTACTGGGTCTATGCAGACTTATGAGAGTAAAAAATGTGGACGATTCGTTCAATTCTGAATGCGTAGAAAAAAGTTTTTTTTGCATATTTGAGAATATTTCATGGGTTGGAGAATATTCAACCCATTTAGCATATTTTGGAATATTTCGTAAATTGTGAGCAAAAATTTGTATTTATTTTTAATTTTAATATTACGGTACTCTGAAAAATTTTTTTTGACCATTTACAATTTATTTATTTATTTTTTCATTTTGATAAAAATAAAACAATCAGTATTATCAAGGTTTATCTATGTATATCTACTGATAAGATCAACTTATAAGTTTATCAAATATTCAAATATCAAAATTTTGTTTTTGTGTTTTAATATTATACTGTTATATTTATATTATATTCCAACTTCCTACTCTTGCTAAAATGCAATACTATTCCATTACGTATAATACGCAACTCTTAATACCTAATTAATATCTCACTATAAAAATATAGTTGAAAAAAAATTTTAAAAAATAAATGCATATTAAAGCATATAATGATGTTTTTTGATTATTTTTGCATATTTTAGCATATTTTTTAAATTTTTGAGAGAATATAATGAGAATATTTGAAGGGTTTTTAGAGAATATTAGCATCATATTTTGGGTATTTTAAGAGAATATAAATCCGGTCTTTACTTATAACTCATAAACTACTCGCCCCAAATTCAATTTTCATGTATCAAAATACTAAGAAAAATATTCTACTTTAGAATATAAAATTAAAACCCTATGTTGTCGTTCAAAAAAGTAAAAAACTTAAAAAATTATAAGGATAAAAAATAATTAAAAATATAATTTTTTATAAAAACGTTGTTTTATAAGCGACTTGAAACTATGTAAAAAAATATCTTCAAAAAAATTTACACTTTTTGAAATAATGAGTGTTGTTTGATAAAAGAATCACCCGGTATAACCAATACTGCAAAGAATTTATAAGTAAAAAATACAAATATTTGTAAATTTTAGCAATATTGTAATTTTTTAGTTAGTTAATATATTTTACATAATATTGATTTATTGAAATTTAAATCGAACAATAATAATTTCTTGGATTACTGAAGTACAAATTATACTCACTGCAGATAAATTGGATATGCGCTGGGTTTTCATTTTAAACTCTCCAACAGCTTCAATAAACTCATTCATGAGTCTATAATCTATTTGTAAAAATAAATAAATAATTAATAATATTTCTTTAAAAAAATACAAACACTTAATACCTTGACTCATTTCAGAGTCATTAAATTTTTCCAATCTCTTAAACCCTGTTTTGTATTTCTTGCCATCACAATCCAATTCTTTCTTGTGAATATTAACACATGACAAACTACAAGTTTTCACTTCACACCTTGGGCAGCAGTATTTAGCAGCATCACTACTGCACACCTCGCAATAGCCCAATCTGCAGAAAATAAAATGACAAATCAGCATATGGACAAAATTGTTTAGTATAAAATATATTGTATTTTATTTTACCGATTCTTTGATTCCATATTTTTTTTTTAACAAAAGCCACAAAATTTACTTTATTATCAATGATACGGGATTTATTAAGATTTAGAATTTATAAGTCTAATTTGTAAACAACGTTTGTGGCAAGCACTAGAAAGTGAACTTTATAACTTTATAAGATAGTACATATTCTGAAGGGTATGGTCATATTATTACGTGATTGAATATCGATGATGGAATATAATAATATAACTGAATAAAAATATTTTAAACTATAATAACTTAATGAAAATAAAAAATTGAACCTTATTTTTATATATTACAGCAATAGCATGCCGCATGCCCGCATAAATAAATATTGTCGCATGGCTATTGCCTATTGGCTTTGTCAATATTATTATTTATTATATTATCAATTTGTTTGATAAAAAATTCGTGTTATCTTGAAAAAAATCTGTTACTAACATCTATCCAGTTAAGTTATAGCCACGCTCACGGACTAAGATATATAGGACTGGAAACGGAGTATTATCAGTGGAACCCAAATGTTTTCATATGGTACATCACGGACACCCAGCGCCATCTATTTAGTGGATTTAGCATTGAACTATAATAATATGAATACCAAAACAGTTTTTATTATAATTATTATAACATAATATTATTCTTTATTTCTTTTCAACATAGCCCATAGGTAGGCTTTTTACATTAAAAATATATATTTTGAAACAAAGATATAACTGTTACCTATGTGTGAACTAATTTTGCAAACTTTTTGTATATCTTAGTCCGTGGACAAGACATATTAATAATTGTATTTTAAAATTATGTTAGCAATGGTTTTAAATAATATAATATATATTATTTTTTACTATTTTTATTTTTTGAAATGTTTGTAATGTCGTTGCAAAGGTTTTCAAAAAAATGTATACTAAATTACACATTATTACAGTTATAATATTATAATAAAAATGTTCATTATATAGTATTTAATACTATTGTCTATTTATACTATATTTATACCATTAATATTTATTTTACTATTTTTACTTCTAGAAAAGATATATTAAACAACTTGGACGTGGGTTATAGACATTTGTACTAAGATTTATAATTTGTTTCTACTGGATTAATCTTCTTTGGCCATCCCTGAACTGAATATTTCAAATATATTATTGATAGGAGTATAAATGAATCTTATCTTATAAACCCCTATTTAATTATTTCTAGTAAAATTAACTACTATTTATCTTTAAAAAAATTATAGTAGTTTTGTTCACTAATATGTTATTATAAAATTACAGAAATAAACAAAAATTGTTGGAATTTGGTAATGACGTAATGTTGAAGATGAAGGAGAATAACCAATGTTTTTTTTATTTCTGATGAAATTTTTTATTTTAGATTCTGAGCGGAGCGATGAATGTATTGGTTTTACAATGATGTATGTTTTTATATTTTTATTTATATTTTAGATTCTGAGCGGAGCGATGAATGTATTGGTTTTACAATGATGTATGTTTTTATATTTTTATATTTTTATTTATATTTTTATTTATATTTTTATTTATATTTTTATTTATATTTTTGTGTCTGTCATCACGTTTTGGGACAGTAAAAGTGCTTCGATTTTCTTCAATAGTACCTTTTCTGATAGGAAAGTGAATCTAGTTGGTACTTTGGGGGGTCAAAAGTAAACATTTTCCAGTAGTTTTCACAAGCGCCGGGAAAAACAACATAAAAATTAAGGAAAAACGGGAATTTTTACGCAAAATCGATTTTCCAAAAAATCGAATTTGGTTATTGGTGTAACTTTAAAACAAATGACCGTAGATACATGAAATTTTCACTGGTTGTTTATATTTGCATTTTATATACACGATAACATTTTCAAAATATTTTGATTTATTTTGGACTGTTTAGGGACATTTTCATTTTTCATTTTATTTTAGTTTTTTTTCTAGAAATATCCATAAAATTTTATTTGTTGGTTGCGAAAGCTTGAAAATTTAATAGAAGGCTCCTAATATGTTGTTTCAAAGGCAGATGAAAAATATTAAAAATCCTTAGTCACAATTTTTTTTTATAAGCATTTAAAGTTCAAAAATTGACAAAATATGGAAAAATCACGAAAATTAGCAAATTATTTTGAGTTAAGAATTCGTAAAAATTTTTCTTTTTAAATCTAAGATTTGAAAATGAAACACAAGATTCCTTATAAGATTATCTACCTTTATCAATAAAAAAATCTCTACCGGACAGTCAAATTAAATTTTTATGAGCGTTTGAAATTCAAATTTTTACAACATTGGATTTTCACTCGATTTCTCATGTAGCGATTTCCTTATTTTGTTGTAATTCAAAAACGAATAACTGTAGATACATGAAAATTTCACTGAATGTTTATATTAGCATTTCATATACACCATACAATTTTGAAAATATTTTGACTCTTTTTGAGCTGTTTATGGACATTTACAGCTTTCAATTTTTTTTAGTTTTTTTTTCTATAAATATCAATAAAGTTTTATCTGTTGGGCCAAAAAGTGTAAAAATTTAATACAAGGCTCCTGATATATTGTTACAATATCAGTTGAAAAATATTAAAAATACATATGCACGATTTTTTTTTATAAGCATTTAAAGTTGGAATTTTGACAAAATTTATCAAAATCTCGAAAATTATCAATCGTTGGAATTAAAAAATTATAAAATGTTCAGTTTTTATAACTAAGAGTTGAAAATTTAAAACAAAGATTCTCTTAAATAATTCATACTGTAACCAAAAAATCTAAAAAATATATAAACACACTTATTTTTTACAGACATTTTAATTTCAAATTTAGACAAAATTTCATATTTAAACCAAGAATTACGATTTTAGTTATTTTGTTGTGATTGAATAATACTATTCGTGGGTACTTGAAACTTCTAAAGTGTACTATTATATATCTATGATAGTATCACGGTTTTTGTTGATGTATAACGCGTTATAAGTATCTAATGGATATTGTGATATGATTAATTTGGAATTTATTATAGGTACCTATTATAGGTCAATTTTTTGTTTAATACCATAGATATGTATATAATATGCCTTATACATAGACTGACATACCATCACCGCTCAGAATCGTTTTTCTTATACAATGATATTATATCATTGAATTCAAATTTAATACCATCCATTATACAGTGACCCACTTGTAACCTACTGTACAGCAGAGCGACACCCACTTGCCCACCTTTATTTTTAATAACTTATTTTTGCAATCATTTAACACAATTTATCATCAATTAAACTTGTTATTAATTACACCCATTGTCTTTTTAAGAATTGCTAATTTATAAATATTTTTTAGTGATTTTATACCTTGTTATTTAAATACATTTGTATTATGATATAATGATATATCAAATTGTGATTTGTTTTCTTATAATAAAGAGTTCTAGACTAACACATATGTATATTTTTGGGATTTGATTGTTACTTACACAGGATTTAGTCATTGCATTTGTGTAGGTACTCCATACTTTCTAGTTTCTATTCAGTTTTGTGTAACTAGCTTCATAAGCAAAACTGATTAAATAATTTAGCATATCTTTTTGAATTTAGAATACCTACTTAAGATACATTTGATTTCAAGACATTATAGGCTGATAGACGATCTTCTCTCAGAATTGCAGTGGCGGACTGGGAGAAAAAAACAGCCCGGGAAGATCATAATTTTATAGGCCTGAAGTGGCTGAAGTATACTAACGGCCCTTTATATAATATACCACAACAAAAACCCTTCGTAAACTACGTGTAAAAATGGTTAAGTAAAAAAAAATATTAGATCTTTAAGCACTAGAAAGATGTGATATCATGAATAAATGCTAAGTATATTGAATTTAAGTAAACTTATTTTTTCAATAATTTATTTACTTGAAGAGGAATTATTTCTTAAAAGAAACAAAGTGTGATGAACAAAATAATTAAATGGCGAAGGACTATTAAAATATAACTTATTATTATTTAAAAAATATTATTATTATTATTTAAAAAATATTATTATTAATATTTATATACTATTCTAAATAATTCCTCGCCAAGTACCTAAATAAATTATTGAAACAAAATAAGTTTACTTAAATTCAATATACTTAGTGTTTATTCATGATATCACATCTTTATATTGCTTAAAGATCTTATATTTTTTTTTTACTTAGCCATTTTTGCATGTAGTTTAAGAAGGGTTTTTGTTGTGATATCACTAATATTTATCATTATTAAACATTGAGTATTTACACAATAATCTATATAAGAACGGTAATATTGTTGGTAACAATACGACGACGACGACGACGACGACGGCTACCGTGATTCTGAATTTAATATAAATATCCATTAAAAAGTTCGCACTTTTTCATTTATAACTTAATTTCTAAACGTACTAGATTTTGATGATTTTTACAAAAGCACGTTATACACAGTATTTCTGATGTTTTGGAGTTTACTAGGAGTTAATCGATGCATAAGAAAATAGTTATGTCGTATAACAAATTTACCTGTATTTTACACAGTTTAAATAGGCAACTCCTGCTACACACACCTTCGTGCAGTTATTATTTTTTTTTTACTTAGCTCGCGCCACGACCGTGTCGGTGGATATAAATAATAATAGTCTTTAGAAAAATTAACGCTCTATTTTGTATTAAGTAAATCTCATATTGTATTTAATTGTACTTTATTGTTATTATTTGTATTTAAATTGAATGTCTAATTTAAGAGCCTCTCACAGTCTCACCAAAGCTTTTGCTTATAGGAGGTGAGCAGACTTACTACTGTATTTATAATTTACAATATGTTGGGAATTGTTTGCAAATAAAATAAAATTGTTATTATTAACGCGCTTGAAATTCTAATGCTGCTGGCCGACGAGAACGATAAAAATACTAGCTGACTAGTAATACACGCCGTCGTCTGGGAAATTTTCTCGGAGATCGGTCTATGTGTTGAACGATTTGTATTTAGCTCATTCTCGATTAAATCCAAACG